TGCCACAAATTCTCCTAAATCACTCGTACGCACAATTTAAGAACAAATCTGTGCGTACGAACGGTTCTTGCATGAGGCCCAATGAGTTTTCTATGGAAGCGCCACTGGAATTGTGCAAATTCAACAAGCTCAAAAAACAGAAATATGCTTGGATATTTATTAAAAACCTCATCAATGATCGTAAAKGAAAGTTTAGCATAAATACCTAATAAAAATAAATTTAAAAAAATCACTAAATAAAAGCCTGCTTGCTGTTTGACAAAAAGGAAAATCCTATCAATTTAATAAAACTCTCATTGAAATTTATTTTTATGTGTTTATGTGATGAGAAACAATCCCTAACAAGAAATCTATCTGAAAAGTTCCAGCGTTTTGCAATATTTTGTGAAATATTTCAAGCAGAGGTTTAAAATCACGTTCGGAGTGATGAAATGAGCAACGTGCAGAGTTTCCTCCTCCTCCTGTGGAGATAAAAGCCGAGCGATACAAATACACCCGAGATWAACATTACGCCATCACATCAAATGAAACGACTGAGTCCTAATGTCATTTTATGTTTTTAATGTTCAAACACTATATGTGACACTCATGTCATAGCGACTTAGATTTAAAATAAAAATCTTTTAAGGAGGAAAAAAATGGCTTCAATCATCACTTTAGATGAGGTTCTATTTATATTATAAAATTAAATTGAAGTTGTAATGCTTGACAAAATGTGTTTTTTTACATCAATTTTAAAGGCAAGCAGGAGTTTTAATCCTCCTCCACATTAACTGAGCCTGTGAATTTTTTAACCTAAGGGCAGCAGGAGGGGTTAAGACAAACAGATTAATAAAAATAACTCATTCAAGAAACAAACATAGAAAAGAAAATACTGAGACTTTGTATTTTGTCTTCATAAAGAATTAAAACTGAGGTTGTTGACTTGAAAATTGCTTTTTGGAAACAGCAGAACTGCAAGTTAAACATTACTGCAAAGTTAACTTTAATGTTGAAAATATTTGAAAATAGATCTGAGCACYCAGGAAGTAACTGGATCTACAGCGGATACATTTTGGAGTCGAGCTGATTCAAGATGGCAGCCACATTTACCTTTTAAAAACACAAATAATGACTTTAATTAAGTCAACTCTCTCCAGGGGCGGGACCACAGGGACATTGGCCTCAGCTGAAATCTGATTGGCCTCCTAAAATGCCCCTGTCCTGTCACTCACCTGTCCTTTGCCTGAATGATGGATGCAGTTCCATGTCTGAACACTAGTAGCGCTAATGAGTAGAATATGAAAGTCCAACATGAATCAAGCTTACAGAAGTCTTCTTCTTTTTTTTTTTTTTAAAAAAGTTTGAACAATCCTGCAGAAAAAAGTATTTCAGCTGACAAATGATGGCTGGCTTCTCATATACAGTGTGTTTGAGAGTATTTTGTATGTACAGTAAATAACACATGTAAAAGCGAGCTTTTTTTTATACACGTGTTTAAACGTGTGACTGGTTAAATATATACACCTCACCAAAACCACGGATTTGTGTGCAAGGGTGCTGAAGAGATACTTGGCCCCTCTATAAATATTGTGGCCCCTTGATGGCCTCTTAGAAAAATCCTATCCTCCACTGTCTCTCACACAGTAAAAAAGAAGGAAAAACTTTAGTGTGGTGGTAGCTGAGAGCAATGCCCAACAGATTCCAAATTCATGTAAAAATAAATTTGAGTTGGTCACCAATGCTACATTTAAATGTCCATAACTCAGTTATTTTAGACATATCAAGCTGAAATCTGGTGTAGTGGGAGCTGCGATCACAAACCTTTTATTACATTCAAATCATAACTTTAAAATAGTACACACAATTATTGCTTATTAATTTTATTCAGTGGTTCAGAAGTTATTTTTTTCTTCATCACACTGACAACACCAGACAATATGGCGATTTGATTTTGCTCGAACTACACATCTTTTAATGCTACATGTGATATCCACTCCACTTGTCAATCTGGTGGTGGCCGATCAGGTGCCGTGGATGATGCCACCTCAGCCACCCCTCTGGTTCCGCCCCTGCTGAGTAAACTATTTTGTCCAATACTCATATCCAACATAATTGCCTATAAAAACTTTTTTTTTTGTAGTTTCTATTGCATGTGATGTGTTTTGGTTGGAAAACAAAATAAAATTCACTTCAGTTTCAGTTTTTTCCTCCAACAACACGTTTGTTGGAACTTACTTGCAGTTCCTTTAACAGCCGACAGAGGGCGCCGCGGTGCCGCAGAGCCACATGAATAT